TTTTTTACTAAGAGTTTCAGTTTGGAACATTAACAGTGTTCTCTTCCACAGCAACATAATGATAATATCAGAAGTAGCATTTAAAAATGGTATTTAGGCCCCTGATTTAGGTTACGACTTTGTAAGGATACTCTGATGCCTAAGTGAAATCTTTGCAGATAGTCCTTTGCATCTGTTGGGCAGAAGGTATACATTGTACTGAGGAGCTATTCTCAAAAACTATTTTCTTAGAAAGCACATGACCAGAAGGAGTCCTACAGATTTCTAGGTTGTTCTGAAGTCCTGCTCTGAGCACTTGGTCAGAATGTCTGCTGCTAATGCCTGTTCTTACCTTAAACCCCACATCCATTTCTATGTAGTTGTTTCTCAACATGTTTTATGTTTCTATAAACTTTCTTCAAGCCATCTTGGATGCTAAATATTTGCCAGATTAAGATTTGAGATGATTGTCTTCATAATGACCTCATTAATGTTTATAAATATGTAAAAGGTGAATCTCATGAGAATGGAGCCAGGCTCTTCTCAGTGATGCCCAATGACAGGACAAGGGGTAATGGGTGTAAGCTGGAACACAGAAGGTTCCGCTTAAATTTCAGAAGGAACTTCTTTACAGTGGGGGTGATGGACCACTGGAACAGGCTGCCCAGGGAGGTTGTGGAGTCTCCTTCTCTGGAGACATTCAAGACTCGCCTGCATGCCTTCCTGTGTAATCTCATGTAGGTGGTCCTGCTCTGGCAGGGGGGTTGGACTAGATGATCTTTCGAGGTCCCTTCCAATCCCCAACATTCTGTGATTCTGTGATATTCTGGTGCATTGTCATGGTTGGTCACTTGAGGTTGAGGCATGAATCATGGTATCTCTTCCCAAATCCCCAGTGCAGCTATCTGAACAACTCTAGCTTCATTATGTCACCAGGTGTTCAACCACCTAAGAAAACGTGACTGCAGAATTCACTGTGCAGTGTCCACTTTTATATACTGACTCCCCGTACATAATATATGACAAACAGAAGGAGAAGAAACAGAAGGAAAAGAAACCAGTTGGTGTGGCGACAAGTGGCAGCAGTGGTGACAGCAACACTGGAGGTGAGCCCAGGGGCTCAGTGTCAAACCCTGCTGTGCAGGGGGTTCCTGAGATCGGGGCACCCCGGGAAACCACTGGAACCGACGCAGAAACCTGAAAACTCGCCCAACCAATCAGGAACGGCAGGGGGGCTGTTCAGAGCAACCGAGGGAGATTTAAAGGGCCCTAAGGGGCGGGAATGACCAGGGGTGTGGTGGCTGGCTGGAGGAGGTTGGCTGGAGGCGGTTGGCAAGGGCAGGGTGAGCAGCCGGGCTCCTGCCTGACCGTCAGGGCTCCTGCCTGGCCATTGGGGCATAGGATAGTCCTAACCCAGGACTTTTAAAACTCCATTCCCCTGCAGGGGATTTTCTATTGTGGGGAGTGAGTCTCAGTGAAGAGCAATGAGCTTGGATAGTTAATACTCTTGTTTTCTGCAATACAAATGGGATTATTATGACCATAAGATGGAGTTTGAGGGAAGGCAAAGATCAGTCCAATTACTTTGAAACCGCATGTTTCTGCAGATATTTTATTTTGTCTGAAGATCTTTATGTTTTTAATTTTTTAAAATTTTGTTACTTGTGTCCCACTGGGCAATAGCCAAACAAGCCTTGGTAATTAGTGGAGATGTTCAAGCAGACCCAGCATTGGTTTTCACTAATTATTCAGCAGATGAGTGCATCAAGAGTTCTAAATCCCACTTTTTAATTTGTAGTTAATGTGTTTTAAAGGTGTGAAGGTGAGGAATGCTTCCTCTCTATTATTCAAATTTTTAAGAAATTCTCTGCTTTTTATTTCTACCTCTTGCATGCCATTTCACGGCCTTTCAATAGGTGCAATGTGCCAACCCTTGCTTCTGTAACACAGTCAGCTTCCATGGCAGGACAATAGGTTGAAGAAAAGAGAAGAAGCATACTACTTGGAGTAGGCTGCCAGGGGAAAAGTTGCTTCACTTAGTGCAGCCAGCAGTCAGCAAGTTCAGAAGGCAAGATGAAAGATGAGTGGGGGGATGAGGGGAAGTGTGGAGTTTGGTGGATGAGCACATGGTGTCAAGGGGGTAAGGGGAATAAGCACTGCAAATCTCATCTCTTTGTGAGCTTTAGCAGGTGCTGAAGACCTCGGGCAGAGCTGTGTGGGTTTTCATCTTTTGAGAATTGCATGTCATAAGAGCTGCATAAATCACATACTTTCAGAGAGAAGCAGATTTTATTGTGCAATGCATTCCTGTCTGTTTCCATAGTGGAAGGCAAACAACATTGTCTTTTTCTTCTCATCTGAGCAGAGTATCTAGTGTAATAACCAGACACAGTATAATAACCAGAATGATATTCTGTTTTTGAGTATACAAGGGGAGATGTTGAAGATGGCCATATGTATTGTATTGTTGGAAACCATTCCTCACTGTGCGTATGTTTGGGGCAGGGGGGGTAGGTGGGTCTAAATGAGAATAGAAGCTCTGTTAAAAAACAGCTTGCTCAAGAAAGCTCTTGAATTTATAGCTTCTAGAAGTTCATCTCCATCTTTAGTAAAAAGATTTATTTTTATTTTTTTTTGCCTAACAGGTATGCAGCATTATGAGTACTCTTGAAAACCTCTAATCAAAAGTTCTCAGGCTGCAGAAACCTTTTCAATAGTTCTTTCTACAATAAAGTGGCCCTTCTCTCTCCTTCCTTCCCTGCTTTTCTCAAAAAGACTTAATAGCACTACGTATAAATTAAAGTTTTTCAGAGAGGTGCCTTAATTTACGATAAAGTTGTTCTTTCAGTAGGATTACCAAAATGCAACATTTTTTCAAAACTGGTTTTACATACTATGGTACAGGTTCCTATGTCAACATCTTAAATGACCTGTACCTATCCTTTTCTTCCCAAGGATGGACAAATAGCCATGAGGACAAGTGTACTGCCTGCTACACAGCAGCCTCCTATGTTGAGCATTGTGGGGAGATGTTTTACTTTCCTGAGTACTTTTGGAAAGTGACACCCAAAATAATACGTAGACCAGCTACTTACCAAGGTGCTGTGGACTACATGATCCTCAAAATACCTCAATATGATATCATAAGCTCTCCTACTCCCTCTGTTAGTAGTTAGTCAGTTCTGGCTTGAATTTCATGCAACCTCCAATTTCTGGAAAATAAGACAGAAAAGGACCTTGCAAAGTCAATTGATCCTTCCTTTTGAGTCCAAAGCTGGGTCAGCTATACAGCTGGAGGCTCTATATCTGCTGAGACAATCTGTGAGTTACTTAGCTAACTTGGACTTCATAGAGCAACTGAGGAATGGTATTACTACCCCTCCTCCTCTGGATACCCTTAGATGTGTGTCAGCCCTCCTCTTTCTCACCTAGTTGGAAACCAGTACCTAGGAGGAAATGGGGTACCTGTGACACCAAAGATGGAGAAGTGAAAAAAAACCCAACATATTAAGATATGTTGTTTTCCTACAGATCTAGCTGATAGTGTGAGGGAATAAAGATTATGTGAATGGAATTATCTGTTGTTCTGGGTTTTATTTTGGTTTGGGGTTTTTTTGTTTTGCTTTTTGCTTCTTTTAAACTCTCCTCACTTGTCGCTGAAGCTCTGCCCATTCTTCAGAGCCCGGTGTGTACATGTTTCTGAGCAGAAATGAAAGTGAATGAAAGAAAGCCATGACATTATGCATTTACAACATCACTGTTAAATGCCAGGCAAGCATAGAACAGAGGGAGTGCTTTGTAGGCAGATGCGTTGCCTTGAACTGCATCTTCCTGTCACCATAACTATTGGGGCTTTGTGATATGCAAATATGAGAAAAACGGCAAAAAATTGTCTTTAAGGATGCAATGGAGTGATTTAGATGTTGATAGAGATAGAACTGGTTTTGTGTTTATATGAGGTCTCCAGAGTAAATAGAGATGTGACTCAATTCTACCATCTTCCTTGCATGAATAATATTTGTCTCTTTGTTAATAAGCCTGACATTAAATTCTGTGTGCTCTCTCACTCGCTTTCTCTCTCTCTTTTTTTTTTTCCTCAGAACTAATAATACAGCCCCTAGAAGTTCATTAATGCTGGCATGTCTCTTTGCTTCACTTTTGTAATGCATGAGAACACAGGCCTTAAATAAAATCTTTGTGAAGCACTTGCACTTGTCTGAAGATAAAAAGCTGTTCCTACATTTGCATTACAAAGAAGCCCATATCAGCATCTTCTTTCTCTGGCACCCTCCTTCCTCTGGGCTTGTATCTGATGGAAAAGGCAATTTCCAGCTAATCATTCTAAAAGCCTGTCATTTGTGTCTGTAATGAGAGGAAAGAGTTTTTACTGTTGATTTTCAGTGGGCATTAGGCAGTGGGATTTGTTTCAGTCCTATGGGAGAGTGCAATACACAGAAACACTGCTGGGATCTCTAAATTCTCTGTGCTCTGTGTAAACATTTCTGCTCCACTGGGTGACACTGAATAGCCTGGGATTCCTAGGAGGGGGAAAACACATCTCAGAATGTACAAGGTTTTACATAACCTCTTCCTAATTATAGATCATAGAATGGTTTGGGTTGTAAGGGACCTGAAAGATCATCTAGTTCCAACCCTCTTGCCATGAGCAGGGACACCTTCCACTAGACCAGGTTGCTCAAAGCCTTATCCAACTTTGAATGCTTCCAGGGACCAGCATCCACAACTTCCTTGGGCAACCTGTTCCAGTGTCTCACTATCCTCACAATAAAGAATTTCTTCCTAATATCTAATCTAAACCTACCCTCTTCCTATTTATAGCCATAACCCCTTGTTCTATCAGTATCTGCCCTTGTAAAAAGTCCCTTCCCAGCCTTCCTGTAGATCCCCTTCAGGTACTGGAAGGCCACAATAAGGTCTTTCCAGAGCCTTCTCTTCTCCAGGCTGAACAGCACCAGCTCTCTCGACCTGTCCTCATAGAAGAGGTTCTCCAGCCTTCTGATCATTCTTGATTAGGGGCCATGCAAATGCTGACTGTATTTCAAGTCATCTTGTTGGCGTACTAGGAAAAGTTTTCAATTAACAATGATTGTGCCTCAGATTAATCTCATTGGCTACAATACTGCAGCTGTGCAAATCTTGTAAAGACAAAGCTTGTAATGACAAAGCTTGTTTCCAGTCATGTTCGTGTAAATCTGGCATCATCTTATTGATGACAGGGGAGTGATTTCAGATCACCCAGTGGTACCTGGTCACCTGAACATGGTGCTGTGCAGCCTGCTGTAGGTGACCCTGCTTGAGCAGAGGGGACAGACAAGATGACCTCAAAAGGTCCCTTCCAACCTCAACTGTTCTGTGTCAGAGTTGTCTGGAGCAATTCAGGTTCCTTGCAGCAGGCATTGAGTGACATTTCAAACCATGTGTGGTAACAAGCCTGGGCTCCAGATGTCCATTTCTAGAAACGGGCAGTTTTTTCCCTTGATCCTGTGTCAAACTCTTGTCTTTTGTGCCAACACATGAGTACTGTAGTTGTCTAAAATGGGACTGTAAGACCTCCTAAATGTCAGGAAATCAGACAGCCGCCTTCTGCTAGCACACACACATACACACAATTATCACATCAATATTGGTTTATTTTGGTACCAAACCTCTGAAAACAACCTGTTATAGGACAATGTTCATAGCCTTTGGAATAATTAAGGCATGCAAAATTACTGCAGTTCTTCAGAAAAATACTATTATGATGAAGAGGATCTAGAAAGGTAGACTTCGGAAAGGGAGAGATGACAAAGACTCCTTATGTTCGGGTGGGAGGAGTGAGAAAAGCATACTTCAGCTTACACTCTTGCTTACCTGTCCAGGACAGCATAATATACACTCTAGTATGCACGAAGAGCATCCACCTGGCATGTCCTAAGTCTGAGATACCTCTCACAATACCGAAGCTGCACTTATGCGCTTGCAACTTTAAAGAGACTGCAGAGAGGATCAGCTGTGCTTTAAGAAATGGGATTTTCAGGATTAAGGGAGATTTTGATCTCCACGGAGCAGAGGAACACAGTTTAGCTAGGAGCAGGGCTGTCAAGGTCATAGCATTTCCCAGGATTGCAGCACAATCCGTCTGTGTTTGTTTTATATCATTCACTTTACCAAAACACCAGTCCGTTAGTTTAGCCCTCCTGGCTGCAGAATCCCTGCGGTTCCCAGAGGCTGCAGTAATAATAAAACTCCCTGAATGCATCTTTCAAGGTGTGCTTGACATGACGCCAGCTAGTCCTTGAAAGGTGTACATGTGCAGCAATTCATGTCATTGTTCATGCTTTTCATATTTAATAATTTCATTACTAATTAATATGGTCATTACCACAGTGTAAAGGGAAAAGATGATCATTAAAGGTTAATGTAATTGTTGTTCATACTGTGCCTTTAATTGTTACAATTTTTTCCTAGGTATTTAATTAAACTGATAAGTAACAATACAATTTAATAATGTATGTGCAACCATCTTTATTTGTCCCTGTGTGAGGCCAGTGACCACCTACAACAGTGAGAGAGAGAGATAGATATATTAAATCCACCGTGGTTTTTTCCTTTTTGTTTTGCATGCTCATCTGCTTTCTGCTTCTCTCATGCTGAATCTGGCTAGAGGTGAGGCTCCAAAGACACATGGCCATGATGAAAAGCCTGTGATATATTTATGGTTTAAATATATTGCTTAGGTGTTGTGGCAGCCTAGCATAGGGGTTAGGAAAGTTCCTTTCATATATTTTTCCCCATCTATATCAACTATAGAGTGAATTTCAGCCGGGATTTCAAAACACTTTTAAAACTTATTGAATCAATGATAAACCAAGGAGATGCTGTATTTTTCTGCTTTGACAAGATTAACTGTTGCTGAACTGACACCAAGTGACAATGCCATAAGTAAATCTACTCTTCTTTCTCTGTTCTCTCTGGTCGCAGACTGTACTCTGTGTCTGGTGATGTTTGCACCAAAACTTGTCTTAGACCAAACCTACTTGATTGGCTGCTAACCCACTCTTAGGCATAGCTGAAGTCTTAAAGACTGTATTTTTGTTACTCATTAGCACAGATTCAAGTGTTCCTACTAGTAATGCAGCTAGGTCACAGATGCCTAAACACAAAAAATTGTTGTTCATCACCACCTCACTCTCAAAGCCTTAAAGCAATGTTATAGGATCAGCGATGGAAACACAAACCACTCCAAGTCTCCTTTCAAAAAAGGAGAGATACCATGTGTAACTCCTATACCTAAGCTGGAGGTGTTTTGAGAATTCTGCAGACAAACCATAGTGAAACACAAAAGTCGTGAAATCAACAACATGGACACGGAGACAATGGCAGGCTCTAGCTTAAACATGAGCCAATATTTCACATACAAACACAGATCTCCTCTCTACAGTGCAAGCACTTTAAAAACACAATAAAATTAGAGCTAGGGATCATAAAAAGGTCATGTTGATATGTGGGTGCATATTCAATATGTATATGTTTGAGTGTGGAATCAGGACTATGCTGAGGTATGTCATAGATCTCATACTGCTACTACTGTGAAAAGTATTTGGAGTTAAAAGACTGGAAATACTATTTTGTACACAAAATGGCAAACATTACATCACAGCTGGCCAAAGAACGGTTAACAAGATCTTGATTGAATATTTATGCTAATAATTTGTACCTAGAGGAGTTATATTTGTAATTCATCGGAGTTAACACTGAAGTAGAGATCATAAATTGTGAGTTTCTCAGCTTTTGTGTGTTAAAGTGTTCAGATTCACTGCTATAATTACTGTAATTTTCAAATTCTCTGTAGTATGTGATGTAAGGAATTAAGACATATATGAAACCTGATCAGAACTCACAGGAGCTGATGGGAAGACCTTAAGTGGCATGAGGACACTTTCTGTGTAGAAAGCTTCACTTCTCAGGACACCTTAGTACTGGAAAAAGCTTTGTAGGGCAAGGGCAGTGTACATACAGCAGCCTCCAAGCAAACACTTTTGAAATTTTGTGGAGAGTGATCGAAGTTCCAGAAGATTGGAAATGGGCAGACAAAGCCTTCCTTAAAAAGGGTAGGAAAGAGAGACTTGGAAAACTACTAGGATGTTTAAGTTTTAATGCCTGGAGAAATACTGGAACATCAATCTATTGGCAAACCATTAAGGGCTGTCAAATAACCAACAAGTCTTTTTCATGAACTAGTCATATAAAAATACATCCTGTGACAGATAACAGGCCTTTTAGATGAAGAAGAAGTAGATACTGATATCTTCAGGTTATTGATGTTATCTTCAACAACATTCACATAGCCAAGTTAGAGAATCTTGGCTAGAGAAAATAGCTGTACAAGTGGGAGTAATAATTAGTGGCTTATGAGTAAACTGAAAAGATACTATCTAGCAGGATCTCATCTGGTTTTCTTATGTCCGATATTACCTAGCAGTTTCATGAACAAACTGGACAATGGAAAAGACAATCCCATTACTTCACCTGTATTTAATTCCAGTCTAGAGAAGGACACTGAAAGACAGATTTAGAATTTTAAAAAATCTTGATCCTTTTGATTGAGTTGAAATAAATAGGGTAGAACTTAATAAGGACAAGGATGAAGTAATGAGATTCAGTAAGAATTCCCAGCTACACAAAAGTGAACTGGGTAATAACTGGCACTGGAATGAGGCAAGAGGACTGGCAAACTGAAAGTAATCTAATATAGTTTAATGAGGTGAAAATAGCAAATTCAATATAAGAATGTATAATAATTAATATCACATACAAAATATTCAAAACAATCCTCCCAGTGTGCTCAGTTCTAGGCTGGAATACACTGTGTTCACTTCTATCTATAACACTTTAGGAGAGACATGAGCTGTCTGGAGAAGAACTAGAAGGGAGTAAGTGATTTAAATGTCATGATCTTGGAGGAAAGGCTGTAAACACTGGATTAGGATCAGAGCAGGTCAGTGTCTGTCTGGGATGGTACTTGTATTTTGATCCTAATTTGGGGAATGGTTTCAAGTAGATGACTTCTTGATTGTCTTCTGCATTTTCTGTGATTTTAAATTTGTGACAGATTGAGTTGTAGATAAGATTTACAGAATAGGATACAACCACACATGTGTGTCTATTTGTGTGTCTTTTGTAACCCAGGAGAGTTTTCATACTACAAAAAATTCAGCAAAGTCAATTCTATATATTTTGCTATCTCACTTGTCTATCTTCTGTGTAACAGGGCAAAACCAAGACCTTTAGAAACAAATAATAATAAATAAGATAAGGAAGGAAGGCTATGTCTTCTGAGAAAGGTTTTCATCAGTAAGTTTTTTTTAAAAAAGGGAAAGTTTTGGTTTTGACTAACTGACACCCCCTGATGAAAAATAATGTTTCAACAAAAATTACCAACCTTGTTTTGCATTAGCAGATAGAGGATGGAATAGACCTTAACAATAAATGTCTTCCGTGACTGTAGACTATAATTAAAAAGAAAATTAACAAAACCCCTGCAAGCCAAACTGTAGGAGACACATTGCTCACAGTTTCCTTTCCAGGAGATTTTAATTTTTTGATTCCTG